TACTGGAACCGATCCCCTGTATGACTCTCTCTGCAGCAGCTGAAACAAGAGGAAGGAAGCTGGAAGTATTTTGAGGGTGAGGGCACCCAGGGGGAAATGTATGTTGCATAGGTATGGTGATGGGTGTGGTGGGGGGCAATTACTGGAACCGATCCCCTGTATGACTCTCTCTGCAGGAGCTGAAACAAGAGGAAGGAACCTGGAAGCATTGTGGGGGTGAGGGCACCCAGCGGGAAATGTATGGTGCACAGGGAGGGCGATGGGTGTGGTGGGGGGCAATTACTGGAACCAATCCCCTGTATGACTCTCTCTGCAGCAGCCGAAACAAGAGGAAGGAAGCTGGAAGCATTGTGGGGGTGGGGGCACCCAGGGGGAAATGTATGGTGCATAGGGATGGTGATGGGTGTGGTGGGGGGAAATTACTGGAACCGATCCCCTGTATGACTCTCTCTGCAGCAGCTGAAACAAGAGGAAGGAAGCTGGAAGTATTTTGAGGGTGAGGGCACCCAGGGGGAAATGTATGTTGCATAGGTATGGTGATGGGTGTGGTGGGGGCAATTACTGGAACCAATCCCCTGTATGACTCTCTCTGCAGCAGCTGAAACAAGAGGAAGGAACCTGGAAGCATTGTGGGGGTGAGGGCACCCAGGGGGAAATGTATGTTGCATAGGTATGGTGAAGGGTGTGGTGGGGGCAATTACTGGAACCAATCCCCTGTATGACTCTCTCTGCAGCAGCTGAAACAAGAGGAAGGAACCTGGAAGCATTGTGGGGGGGTGAGGGCACCCAGCGGGAAATGTATGGTGCACAGGGAGGGCAATGGGTGTGGTGGGGGGCAATTACTGGAACCAATCCCCTGTATGACTCTCTGCAGCAGGTGAAACAAGAGGAAGGAAGCTGGAAGCATTGTGGGGGTGAGGGCACCCAGGGGGAAATGTATGGTGCATAGGGATGGTGATGGGTGTGGTGGGGGGAAATTACTGGAACCGATCCCCTGTATGACTCTCTCTGCAGCAGCTGAAACAAGAGGAAGGAAGCTGGAAGTATTTTGAGGGTGAGGGCACCCAGGGGGAAATGTATGTTGCATAGGTATGGTGATGGGTGTGGTGGGGGCAATTACTGGAACCGATCCCCTGTATGACTCTCTCTGCAGGAGCTGAAACAAGAGGAAGGAACCTGGAAGCATTGTGGGGGTGAGGGCACCCAGCGGGAAATGTATGGTGCACAGGGAGGGCGATGGGTGTGGTGGGGGGCAATTACTGGAACCAATCCCCTGTATGACTCTCTCTGCAGCAGCCGAAACAAGAGGAAGGAAGCTGGAAGCATTGTGGGGGTGGGGGCACCCAGGGGGAAATGTATGGTGCATAGGGATGGTGATGGGTGTGGTGGGGGGAAATTACTGGAACCGATCCCCTGTATGACTCTCTCTGCAGCAGCTGAAACAAGAGGAAGGAAGCTGGAAGTATTTTGAGGGTGAGGGCACCCAGGGGGAAATGTATGTTGCATAGGTATGGTGATGGGTGTGGTGGGGGCAATTACTGGAACCAATCCCCTGTATGACTCTCTCTGCAGCAGCTGAAACAAGAGGAAGGAACCTGGAAGCATTGTGGGGGTGAGGGCACCCAGGGGGAAATGTATGGTGCACAGGGAGGGCGATGGGTGTGGTGGGGGGCAATTACTGGAACCAATCCCCTGTATGACTCTCTCTGCAGCAGCTGAAACAAGAGGAAGGAACCTGGAAGCATTGTGGGGGTGAGGGCACCCAGCGGGAAATGTATGGTGCACAGGGAGGGCGATGGGTGTGGTGGGGGGCAATTACTGGAACCAATCCCCTGTATGACTCTCTGCAGCAGCTGAAACAAGAGGAAGGAAGCTGGAAGCATTGTGGGGGTGAGGGCACCCAGGGGGAAATGTATGGTGCATAGGGATGGTGATGGGTGTGGTGGGGGGAAATTACTGGAACCGATCCCCTGTATGACTCTCTCTGCAGCAGCTGAAACAAGAGGAAGGAAGCTGGAAGTATTTTGAGGGTGAGGGCACCCAGGGGGAAATGTATGTTGCACAGGGAGGGTGATGGGTGTGGTGGGGGGAAATTACTGGAACCAATCCCCTGTATGACTCTCTCTGCAGCAGCTGAAACAAGAGGAAGGAAGCTGGAAGTATTTTGAGGGTGAGGGCACCCAGGGGGAAATGTATGTTGCACAGGGAGGGTGATGGGTGTGGTGGGGGGAAATTACTGGAACCGATCCCCTGTATGGCTCTCTCTGCAGCAGCTGAAACAAGAGGAAGGAAGCTGGAAGCATTGTGGGGGTGAGGGCACCCAGGGGGAAATGTATGGTGCACAGGGAGGGTGATGGGTGTGGTGGGGGGAAATTACTGGAACCGATCCCCTGTATGGCTCTCTCTGCAGCAGCTGAAAGCCAGGGGGAGGGATTGAAGAAGCCAACTTCCAGCTGCTGCAGAGAGAGTCATACAGGGGATTGGTTCCAGTAGTTACCCCCTCCCACCATGCCAGCCATTTTTCCTGCCCACATCCAATTCACCCAGCTGCCTGGGCCTCACTGCTGGCCTGGGCCCCCGTACGCAAGGACTGGTGTACCCCCTTATCCACGGCCCTGGTAGAGGACAACAGTGAACGCCGCTGCTGGGTGTTCTCTTGGCAGGTCCGGCTCTGACAGCATCAGCCTTCGGTGGCTTTGTGGTTCCACTTGCCAGACTGTCCTCCTCTTCTCCACGTCGAAGCTGCAGCTCCTTACCTTTGATGTAAGTGTAGATCTTTGTTTATTACATGAAGAGTTACAATGTTTTTACGAACTCCTGCACCCTTAGATACTTTTTTTTCCTGCATACCGACATCCAGAAAAGGTTACAGAATATTTATGGAGATGACACCATTGAAAGGGGCATTGTCTTGTCTTTGGTGACTCTTGTCAATGGTGTCACTCTTCTGTGGATGATGAACAGCCGGCACCCCTCCTTCATCACGAACTCAATGATGGCACATGGCTTAAAGTGAGATTAAAGGCTGAAGGTTTGTTTTATACTTTCAAGCATTCTATGCATGAAGGTAAAAAACCTTCTGGGTGCAGCGCCACCCCCCCCAACCCGCCCCCCCGCCCAGCCCCACCAAGCCTTACCTGAGCCCCCTCTGATCCAGCAATGTTCATGAGAGCCTCTGCTCTACGGGAACTCTCCCTCCTCATTGGCTGAAACAGGAGACTCAGGGTCAAGCACTCATGAGTGCTCCCAAGCGGCTTGCTATTGGGGTACTGCTAGAGGGGGAGGAGTCAGGAGTGCTGACGTGGGACCCAAGAACCACTGCTCAGAGCAGGTAAGTATAACACATTTGTTAATTAAAAGAAAAAAAAAAAACAGGCTTTAATACCAGAAACAGATGAAAAAGAAGAAGGAGGAGAAGAAAGAGACAAAGGAGAAGGAGGAGGAAGAATGAGAAAAAGGAGGAGGAGGAAGAATGAGAAAAAGGAGGAGGAAAAGGAAAGAGGGAAGAAAAGAGAGGAAGGAGGGGGAAGGAGGGAGGAGGAAAGAAGATGTGAAAAAAAGAAGAAAAGGAATAAAAAACAAGAGGATAAAAGAAGAAAGAAGATAGAAGAAGAAAGAAGGAGGAAGAAGAAGAAGGAGAAAGAGGAAAAGGAGGAGGAACAATGAGGAAAATTAGGATAAGGAGAAGGGAGGAAGAGGAAGGAAGAGGAGGAAGGAGGAAGGAGAGAGGAGGAAGGAAGAGGGAGGAAGAGAGAGGAGGAGGAAGAAAGGAGAAGAGGAAGAAGAAAAAAAGGAGAAAGAGGAGAAGGATATGAAGGAGATGCAGGAAAAGCAGGAGGAAGAATGAGGAAAAGGAGGAAGAAGGAAGAGAGAGGAGGGAGGAGGAGGAGGGAGGAGGAAAGAAGAGATGGAAGGAGGGAGGAGTGAGGAGGAAAGAAGAGGAGGAAGGAGGGAGGAGGAGTGAGGAGGAAAGAAGGAAGAGAGAAGAAAGAAGAAGAAAAGAAACAAGAAAGAATAAGAAGAAGGAAGAAAGACGAAGAAGGGAGAAAAGAAGACGAAGAAGGGAGAAAGAAGCTTTAAGAAAGAAATGAGAAGAAGATAGAAGAAGAAAGATGAAGAAACGAAGGAGGAGGAAGAAGAAGGAGGGGAAAGAGGAGAAGCAGGAAAAGGAGGAGGAACAATGAGGAAAATGAGAAGGAGGAGGGAGGATGAGGGAGGAGGAGAGAAGAGGAGGAAGAAAGGAGAAGAAGAAGGAAGAAGATAGAAAAAAAAGGAGAAAGAGAAGTATAAGAAGGAGAAGTAGGAAGAGCAGGAGGAAGAGAGAAGATATAAGAAGTTAGAAGAAGAAAAGAAAGAAGACGAAGAAGGGAGAAAGAAGACGAAGAAGGGAGAAAGAAGACGAAGAAGGGAGAAAGAAGACGAAGAAGGGAGAAAGAAGCTTTACGAAAGAAATGAGAAGACTATAAAAGAAGAAAGAAGAAGAAAAGAAATAAGACGAAGAAGTTACTACATTTTAAATCTTCAACCCCAACTCACATTCCATAACTCTTGCAGTAATGGAGTTACCTTCAACATCTAACATTTCAGCGACCTATCTGAGTTAATAGAAGAGCGATGTCCACTTTTGCATGACCGTCAGTACAGTCCTCGTATTATTTCTGCTCAGGTATGTACTACACAAGCAGAGCATCAAAGAGATTTCTAAGAATAGATCTGCAGTTTTTCATCAACAATATGACTTCAGACAAAGGCTGAGCCAAAGAAGCCCAGAACCTTCCTGAAACCTCCGGTGTTCTGGATCAAATTTAAAAATCAGGATGGATGCAAGGTTTAAACCGTGGTTAAGTCTCATGGGTCCCAATGGACCACTTGGGGCCTTTGGGGCCCCACACAGTGATCTTTAGCAGTATTTGTTCAGTGATACATGTTACTTCCATAAGCCAACCCAAGTGGACCTGTCTGAGTCAAGTATACGCTAAACAGCGAACCCAAATACTCACTTCCAGTAGAGTTGGATGAGCGTCGTTGCATGGAGCTGGAGATGGAAGCCTCTGTTGGCAGCGGAGGAGGGGGGTGGTGGTGGGTAACACAGGTTGTCCGGAAGCGGAGGAGGAATCGGGGGAGGCGGAACGTTTCCTGCGGGCGTCTTGTCTGCAGTACTGCCATTAGGGACGCTCTCGTTTGACAGAAGGGAACCCTTGAAAAGAAAAGATTATAATTGTAACATTTTGTTTTAAAGGAAGTTGAGTTTTGGTCATTTTTTAAAATCTAAATATTTACAATTTCAAGATGTTTTATTTAAAATATCTCAACAGGTGACACAATGCCTCCGTGACACTGTCAGAGCATGCTGCGTCTGATGAACCCCAAACTACATGAAGACGATGGGGGAGTTGGACTGAACACCTCGCCAACCTCATTTTCTCCAGAATTCACAAGGTGGTGATAAAAACGTTCAGATTTGAATCTCATGTCTGGTTAGGCAGCCAGAGAAGGTGACACATTGGACCAACCACAGTCCACGTAAGACACATATTACAGAGCAGACGAGCTAGAATGTATGCAGGGCACCATAACCCTTTACTAGCCAAGGGTCTACAACAGACTTCTGATGAGGCCAGGGATTTTCTTCTCAGAGAATAGGTGCAGGAACTCCCACTTTCCGAGTTACCCCTTGACTCCGCCCCCTACCCGCCTCCGAGCACCATTTCTGGGTTCCACCCCCTACCCACCTCCCACCACCACCCCTTTCAGAGAATATATTAAGTCATTTGTATGGAATTTGTTAACAATAACAAGAAAGCAGTCAAATAGACCCACCCCAGCAACAATAGATCCCCACACAACTATAGACCCCCAGCAATTGCGGCTCCCCAGCAACAGTATACCCCTCCCAACAAAAATGTAATAAAATATCCCCCAGCAACAATAGATATACACACAACTGTAGACCCCCAGCAACTGCGGCTCCCCAGCAACAGTATACCCCTCCCAGCAAAAATGGACCGCCTGTAATAAAATATCCCCCAGCAACAATAGACCTATGGCAGCAGCAACAGATCTCCCCACAGCCAGAATCAGTCCGTCAACAGTAGATCCCTCCCAGGAACAGTTAACCCTCCCCCCAGCAACAACAGACTTCTGATAAGGCCAGAGCTTTTTTTCTCAGAGAATAGGTGCAGGAACTCCCACTTTCTGAGTTACCCCTTGACTCCGCCCCCTACCCGCCTCCGAGCGCCATTTCTGGGTTCCACCCCCTACCCACCTCCCACTACCACCCCTTTCAGAGAATATATTAAGTCATTTGTATGGAATTTGTTAACGATAACAAGGAAAGCAGTCAAATAGACCCACCCCAGCAACAATAGATCCCCACACAACTATAGACCCCCAGCAACTGCGGCTCCCCAGCAACAGTATACCCCTCCCAACAAAAATGGACTGCCTGTAATAAAATATCCCCCAGCAACAATAGACCTATGACAGCAGCAACAGATCTCCCCACAGCCAGAATCAGTCTGTCAACAGTAGATCCCAGGAACAGTTGACCCCCTCCCCAGCAACAACAGACTTCTGATAAGGCCAGGGGTTTTCTTCTCAGACAATAGGTCCCACTTTCCGAGCTACCCCTTGACTTCACCCCTACCCACCGTAGATCCCTCCCAGGAACAGTTGACCCCCCCCAGCAACAACAGACTTCTGATAAGGCCAAGGCTTTTTTTGCAGAGAATAGGTGCAGGAACTCCCACTTTCCGAGTTACCCTTGACTCCACCCCCTACCCACCGTAGATCCCTCCCAGGAACAGTTGACCCCCCCCCCAGCAACAACAGACTTCTGATAAGGCCAGAGCTTTTTTTCATAGAATAGGTGCAGGAACTCCCACTTTCCGAGTCACCCGTTGACTACGTCCCCTACCCACCTCCGAGCACCATTTCTGGGTTCCACCCCTACCCACCTCCCCATACCCATAATTTGTATGGAATTTGTTAACGATAATAAGGAAAGCAGTCAAATAGACCCACCCCAGCAACAATAGATATACACACAACTATAGACCCCCAGCAACTGCGGCTCCTCAGCAACAGTATACCCCTCCCAACAAAAATGGACCGCCTGTAATAAATATCCCCCAGCAACAACAGACCTATGGCAGCAGCAATGGATCTCCCCACAGCCAGAATCAGTCAGTCAACAGTAGATCCCTCCCAGGAACAGTTGACCCCCCCCCCCCCCCAGCAACAACAGACTTCTGATAAGGCCAGGGCTTTTTTTCTCAGAGAATAGGTGCAGGAACTCCCACTTTCCGAGTCACCCGTTGACTACGCCCCCTACCCACCTCTGAGCGCCATTTCTGGGTTCCACCCCCTACCCACTTCCCACTACCACCCCTTTCAGAGAATATATTAAGTAATTTGTATGGAATTTGTTAATGATAACAAGGAAAGCAGCCAAATAGACCCACCCCAGCAACAATAGATCCACACACAACTATAGACCCCCAGCAACAATAGATCCACACACAACTATAGACCCCCAGCAACTGCGGCTCCCCAGCAACAGTATACCCCTCCCAACAAAGATGGACCACCTGTAATAAAATATCCCCCAGCAACAATAGACCTATGACAGCAGCAACAGATCTCCCCACAGCCAGAATCAGTCCGTCAACAGTAGATCCCTCCCAGGAACAGTTGACCCCCCCCCCCCCCCCCCAGCAACAACAAACTTCTGATAAGGCCAGAGCTTTTTTTCTCAGAGAATAGGTGCAGGAACTCCCACTTTCCGAGTCACCCCTTGACTACGCTCCCTACCCACCTCCCAGCAGCGTTTCTAGGTTCCACCCCATCACTGCAGGGGGGCTCTACCTAAAAGGGGCCTAGCACCTGATGACACTACTTGCTGTAACCAGACTTAAGGGTGTCAAACTGTTGGCCCTCCAGCTGTTGCCAAACTACAAGTCCCATCATGCCTCTGCCTTTGGGAGTCATGCTTGTAACTTTCAATCTTGCAATGCCTCATGGGACTTGTAGTTTTGCAACAGCTGGAGGGCTGTCAGTTTGACACCCTTGAGTCTGGTTACATCAAGTAGTGTCATCAGGTGCTAGGCCCCATTTAAGTAGAGCCCCCCTGCAGTGATGTCAGCACCCACATATCAGTCAGGTAGGAGGGGAGCACACCCCCACAATTGGGTGCATGGGAGCCGACATTTTCAGCATTGCATGCGATATTTAGGAGAAACACCTAAAAACTGTATGCAATCAGCTTTAGTGAATGGAGCCCATAGTGCATATCTCAGAGAAGAACTGTCAAAAAAAAAAAGCTGAGAGAAGTCTACACTCACCGGCCACTTTATTGGGTCCACCTTGCTAGTACCGGGTTGGACCCCCTTTTGCCTTCAGTCTTCGTGGCATAGATCCAACAAGGTGTTGGAAACATTCCTCAGAGATTTTGGTCCATATTGACATGGTAGCATCACACAGTTGCTGCAGATTTGTCGGCTGCACATCCATGATGCAAATTTCCCGTTCCACCACATCCCAAAGGTGCTCTATTGGATGGAGATCTGGTGGCTGTGGAGGCCATTGGAGTGCAGGGACCTCATTGTCATGTTCCAGAAACCAGTTGGAGATGATTGGCGCTGTGTGACATGGAGCATTATCCTGCTGGAAGGAGCCATCAGAAGTTGGGGACACTGGAGTCATAAAGGGATGGACATGGTCAGCAACCAGACTTAGGTAGTCCATGGAGTTTAAACGATGTTCCATTGGTACTCCATTGGTACCAATGGAGCTCCATTTTTAATGGGCCCAAAGTGTGCCAACAAAATCTCCCCCACACCATGACACCACCACCACCAGCCTGAACCATTGATACAAGGCAGGATGGATCCCCCACACCATGACACCACCACCACTAGCCTGAACCATTGATACAAGGCAGGATGGATCCCCCACACCATGACACCACCACCACTAGCCTGAACCATTGATACAAGGCAGGATGGATCCCCCACACCATGACACCACCACCACTAACCTTGACCGTTGATACATGGCAGGATGGATTGCCCACACCATAACACCACCACCACTAGCCTGAACCATTGATACAAGGCAGGATGGATCCCCCACACCATGACACTAACACCACCAGCCTGGACCGTTGATACAAGGCAGGATGGATCCCCCACACCATGACACTAACACCACCAGCCTGGACCGTTGATACAAGGCAGGATGGATCCCCCACACCATGACACCACCACCACCAGCCTGAACCATTGATACAAGGCAGGATGGATCCACCACACCATGACACCACCACCACTAACCTTGACCGTTGATACAAGGCAGGATGGATCCACCACACCATGACACCACCACCACCAGCCTGAACCATTGATACAAGGCAGGATGGATCCCCCACACCATGACACCACCCACCACTAACCTTGACCGTTGATACAAGGCAGGATGGATCCACCACACCATGACACCACCACCACCAGCCTGAACCATTGATACAAGGCAGGATGGATCCCCCACACCATGACACCACCACCAACCTGAACCATTGATACAAGGCAGGATGGATCTACCACACCATGACACCACCTACACCACCAGCCTGAACCGTGGATACAAGGCAGGATGGATCCCCCACACCATGACACCACCACCAGCCGGAACTGCTGATACAAGGCAGGATGGAGCCACCACACCATGACACCACCTCCACCACCAGCCTGAACCATTGATACAAGGCAGGATGGATCCACCACACCATGACACCACCACCACCAGCCTGAACCATTGATACAAGGCAGGATGGATCCACCACACCATGACACCTCCACCACCAGCCTGGACCATTGATACAAGGCAAGATGGATCCATGCTTTCATGTTGTTTACGCCACATTCTGACCCTACCATCTGAATGTCGCAGCTGAAATCCAGACTCTTCAGAACAGGCAACATTTCTCCAATCTTCTATTGTCCAATTTCAGTGAGCCTGTGGGAATTGTAGCCTCTGTTTCCTATTCTTAGCTGAGGGGAGTAATACCCGGTGTGGTCTTCTGCTGCTGTAGCCCATCTGCTCCAAGGTTGAACGTGTTGTGCGTTCAGAGATGGTATTCTTCATACCTTGGTTGTAACGAGGGGTTATTGGAGTTACTGTTGCCTTTCTATCATCTGGAACTCTTACCTCTGACATCAACAAGGCATTTTCCTCCACACAACTGCCACTCACTGGATATTTTCTCTTTTTCGGACCATTCTCTGTAAACCTAGAGATGGTTGTACGTGAAAATCCCTGTAGATCAGCAGTTTCTGAAATACTCAGACCAGCCCGTCTGTCACCAACAACCATGCCATGTTCAAAGTCACTTAAATCCCCTTCCTTCCCCATTCTGATGCTCGGTTTGACCTTCAGCAAGTCGTCTTCATCACGTCTAGATGCCTAAGTTGCTACCATGTGATTGGCTGATTAGCAATTTGTGTTACCGAGCAATTGAACAGGTGGACCTAATAAAGAGGTCGGTGAGTGTATGTCCCCTTTTCAGGACTGCAGGATAGGTAGGAGGTGGTGGTAATGGGGGGGGGGGGGGATTTTTAAGAACAGTTAAGCCTAGTACACAAGATCAGAAAATTGGGCGAAAAATACCGCTTTTGTACAATAATCTGATCACAACTTTCACAGCTTTTGTCTGAAACTGTATGAAGGGAGATGCACGAAAAACGTTTCCATACGATACCAGATCGTACATTCTTCGTTTAATCAGCACAGTATTCGCCCAAAAGCAGACCGCGCATGCTCAGAAATGGAAGAATAAACTACAATACAACACATGACATCACTTCCGCAGTTGTATTCTGTCGTACCAGAATGTTTGCAAGTTGAGCAACCTCTTCATTTTCCACATGAGACTACCATGCACAAAAAAACCAAAAAAAAAAAACGGGTACGATCATTTGGTGCGATATTCTTGGGGTCCTTTCACACGGGCATTCCGTTTTTCAGTTCAGTCACATTTTTTCCAAGAAAAATTGGATCAGTTCACATTAGTTTTTTCATCAGTTTACATCCATTTAGATCAGTTTACATCCGTTTTTCATCAGTTTACATCCATTTAGATCAGTTTAGGTCATTTTTTCATCAGTTTACATCCATTTAGATCACCTTACATCAGTTTACATCCATTTAGATCATCTTACATCAGTTTACATCTGTTTAGATCAGTTTACATCAGTTTTTCATCAGTTTACATCCATTTAGATCATCTTACATCCGTTTTTCATCAGTTTACATCCATTTAGATCAGTTTACATCAGCTTTTCATCAGTTTACATTGATTTAGATCAACTTACATGCATTTTCCATCAGTTTACATCCATTTAGATCAGTTTACATCAGCTTTTTATCAGTTTACATCAGTTTAGATCAGTTTATGTCATTTTTTTCATCAGTTTACATCCATTTGGATCAGTTTACATCCGTTTTCAACAGTTTAAATCCATGTAGATCAGTTTACATTAGTTTTTTATCAGTTTATTCTGTTTAGATCAGTTTAGGTCAGTTTTTAATCAGTTTACATCCATTTAGATCAGTTTACATCCGTTTTTTCATCAGTTTACATCCGTTTAGATCATTTTACATCTGTGTTTCATCAGTGTACATCCATTTAGATCATCGTATATCCATTTTTCATCAGTTTACATCCATTTAGATCAGTTTACATCAGCTTTTCATCAGTTTACATCCGTTTAGATCAGTTTACGTCAGTTTTTTATCCGTTTACATCTATTTAGATCTTCTTACATCCGGTTTTCATCAGTTTACATCCATTTGGATCAGTTTACATCCGTTTTCATCAGTTTAAATCAATGTAGATCAGTTTACATCCGTTTTTTCATCAATTTATTCTGTTTAGCTCAGTTTTTCATCAGTTTACATCCATTTACATCAGTTTACATAAGTTTTTCATCAGTTTACATCTGAGTTTCATCAGTTTACATCCATTTACAGCCATTTAGATCATTTTACTTCTGTGTTTCATCAGTTTACATCCATTTACATCCATTTAGATCATTTTACATCTGGGTTTCATCAGTTTACATCCACTTTTTTACATCCTTTACCAATGCAAAAATGGACCGTATGTCAGTTTACATCTGTTTACATCCGTTTTTTTGTCCATTCTGTGTTTTTTTTACAGAAGAAAAGTAGGGTTTTCTTCCGTTAAAAAAAACAGATGTAAACGAATATGGACATTAATGGATGTAAACAGATGATCATCCGTTTACATCCACTAGTCCATAGAGATAAATGGAGGGCCATTTTTCATCCATAAATGGACAGATGAAAAACGGACATCGTGTGTACCAGGCTCTAGCCTGTATTACCACTTTAAATTGCGATCCTATGGTCATGGCCACAGCAGGTGGGTGGGGCTGGGAACACCATCCAGAGATCTTTCACTGGTCTGTTTAAAGGGTAACTCCATTTTTATACTGTATGCATTTCTGGCTAAATTCTAAGCCAGCCCAGCAAAATAATTTCAAAAATGATAAGAAATCAGTTGGTGATGTTATTGGTTGGGACTGATTTTTAAAGTGTACCAAAATTCCGGACCGCGCATTCACTATATCTGCTCTCCCCGGACCCCGCATTCACTATGTTTGGCCTCCCTGGACCCTGCATTCACTATATCGGCTCTCCCCGGACCCCGCATTCACTATATCGGCTCTCCCCGGACCCCGCATTCACTATATCGGCTCTCCCCGGACCCTGCATTCACTATATCGGCTCTCCCCGGACCCCGCATTCACTATATCCGCTCTCCCCGGACCCCGCATTCACTATATCCGCTCTCCCCGGACCCCGCATTCACTATATCCGCTCTCCCCGGACCCCGCATTCACTATATCTGCTCTCACCGGACCCCGCATTCACTATATCCGCTCTCCCCAGACCCCGCACTCACTGTATCCGCTCTCCCCGGACCCCTCATTCACTATATACGCTCTCCCCCGGACCCCGCATTCACTATATCCGCTCTCCTGGACCCCGCATTCACTATATCCGCTCTCCCCGGACCCCGCATTCACTATATCTGCTCTCACCGGACCCTGCATTCACTGTATCCGCTCTCCCCGGACCCCTCATTCACTATATACGCTCTCCCCGGACCCCGCATTCACTATATCCTCTCTCCCCGGACCCCGCATTCACTATATCCGCTCTCCCCGGACCCCGCATTCACTATATCCTCTCTCCCCGGACACTGCATTCACTATGTCCGCTCTCCCCGGACCCCACATTCACTATAGCCACTGTCCTCGGACCCCGCATTCACTATATCCGCTCTCCCCGGACCCCGCATTCACTATATCCGCTCTCCCTGGACCCTGCATTCACTATATTTGGTCTCCCACAGTACACAAAACTTGGAAATGTAATTATTTTAGTAAATATAAACTGCTAAATATTTTTTCACATCAGCAGTATAGAGCAGTCTTGCGACTTCTGTCAGTGTCCAGCATAGCACTGGTTACAGCTGGTATGAGGAATTTGCATTCTGCTCTAAGAGGATGCAGGACCCTGACTTCTTTCTGGACAGCGCTGAATAGCCCTGTGATGATCACATGCACTCTCCCAAGAAAAAAAAAAAAAACCTTTCTAGCAATACACACCAAACTGAGCATGTGCAGCTTGCCCCCAAGGCTCAGTTCCATCAGCAGATGGATTGGGGACAGTAGAAGAAGGGGAGGATCAGAGGAGACAGGATCAAACAGCCTTTTTACACAATGCAGAGGATTAACCCCTTAGGTCCCACAGTGAGTATAACCAGCATGCTTTCCTGTGTCTACAGACTGATTGTACTGTGGGGGGGTTTGGTAACACTCTCAGCAGTGGCCAGCCTACCTCCTCGCTGTGTGCCATCTTCCTGCCCTCCGGAGACTCTGCGGAGTTCTGCCCCAGGTACTTGTAGTAATCCCCAGTGCTGGGCTGCTTATTGAAGTTCCTTGACTTTCGGCACGAGTCGGTCCTTCGTAGCCCCTCAGGACTGCTTTCCCGGGATATCAGCTGCAAACACAGAAAGCAGACAGTGTGAGGCTGCAGGTCATGTGAAGAAAAGAGAACAGCAAGTGACACCAAAGGACGTCCTTCTTCTCCACAAATCATCTATCCACATCCCCTACCCTGTCATTGGCCCGGTCATTGAATCTTCATGAAATTGTGGTTTTCTGTCTCTTTGTAAATTTTTGTTCTATCTACAGAATAAATAAAAATATAAATACCGTATTTTTTGCTCCATAAGACGCATTCCCCCCCCCCCCCCCCCCCCAAAAAGGGGGAAAATGTCAGTGCGTCTTATAGAGCGAATATGGAGCGGCCGGTCTGGTAGTCCCACCGCCGAGTCAGAATACCGGGCCGGCCGCTCAGCTCTGCAGCGGAAACTTACCTGTTCCTCGGTCCAATGCTGTGAAGTCTTCCCACGCCGGCATCGTTAGTGTGGGCTCTTGGCTGTGACAGCTGTGTGCCCACTGCGCATGCGCGAGAAGTGCTGCACTTTGAGAACTGACCGACGTCTTCTGGGACACATGACAGGTCCCAGAAGACACCGGGCCATTCACAAAATGCAGCGCTTCTCGCGCATGCGCAGTGGGCACCTGGTACAGCCGGACACAGCCGGGTGCGCACACTAAAGGGAGGACAACTCTGCAGAAGTGGGAGTGGGTACCCGCTTCCCCTCTCTCGCCAAAGGTCCGCAGTCCCTGGTCATCTCCTGTACTGTGTCCGCAGTCTCTGGTCATCTCCTGTACTGTGTTTGCAGTCTCTGGTCATCCCCTGTACTGTGTCCGCAGTCTCTGGTCATCTCCTGTACTATGTCTGCAGTCTCTGGTCATCTCCTGTACTGTCTCCGCAGTCTCTGGTCATCTCCTGTACTGTGTCTGCAGTCTCTGGTCATCTCCTGTACTGTGTCCGCAGTCTCTGGTCATCTCCTGTACCGTGTCCGCAGTCTCTGGTCATCTCCTGTACCGTGTCCGCAGTCTCTGGTCATCTCCTGTAGTATGTCCGCAGTCTCTGGTCATCTCCTGTACTGTGTCCGCAGCCTCTGGTCATCCCCTGTACTGTGTCCGCAGTCTCTGGTCATCTCCCTGTACTATGTCCGCAGTCTCTGGTCATCCCCTGTACTGTGTCCGCAGTCTCTGGTCATCCCCTGTACTGTGTCCGCAGTCTCTGGTCATCTCCTGTACTATGTCCGCAGTCTCTGGTCATCTCCTGTACTATGTCCGCAGTCTCTGGTCATCTCCTGTACTGTGTCCGCAGTCTCTGGTCATCTCCTGTACTGTGTCCGCAGTCTCTGGTCATCTCCTGTACTGTGTCCGCAGTCTCTGGTCATCTCCTGTACTGTGTCCACAGTCTCTGGTCATCTCCTGTACTGTGTCCGCAGTCTCTGGTCATCTCCTGTACTGTGTCCGCAGTCTCTGGTCATCCCCTGTACTGTGTCCGCAGTCTCTGGTCATCTCCTGTACTGTGTCCGCAGTCTCTGGTCATCTCCTGTACTGTGTCCGCAGTCTCTGGTCATCTCCTGTACTGTGTCCGCAGTCTCTGGGTCATCTCCTGTACTGTGTCCGCAGTCTCTGATCATCTCCTGTACTGTGTCCGCAGTCTCTGGTCATCTCCTGTACTGTGTCCGCAGTCTCTGGTCATCCCCTGTACTGTGTCCGCAGTCTCTGGTCATCTCCTGTACTGTGTCCGCAGTCTCTGGTCATCTCCTGTACTGTGTCCGCAGTCTCTGGTCATCTCCTGTACTGTGTCTGCAGTCTCTGGTCATCTCCTGTACTGTGTCCGCAGTCTCTGATCATCTCCTGTACTGTGTCCGCAGTCTCTGGTCATCTCCTGTAGTATGTCTGCAGTCTCTGGTCATCCCCTGTACTGTGTCCGCAGTTCAGAATATTTTTTTCTTGTTTTTCTCCTCTAAAACCTAGGTGCGTTTATGGAGCGAAAAATACGGTATATATAATTAAACAAAAATTGCTTACTTCAGCATAGAAAACAATAAACGGCTTTTTTTGCCAGAAAAAAACAAAACAGAAGAAATCATATTTTAATATTATTATTATCTTAATAAGAAACGATGAAACATTGATCCCACACATTGATCCCATACATTGATCCCACACACTGATCCCACACATTGATCCCACACACTGATCCCACACATTGATCCCACACACTGATCCCACACATTGATCCCATACATTGATCCCATACATTGATCATTGATCCCATACATTGATCCCACACACTGATCCCACACATTGATCCCACACATTGATCCCACACATTGATCCCATACATTGATCCCACACATTGATCCCACACACTGATCCCATACATTGATCCCACACATTGATCCCACACATTGATCCCATACATTGATCCCACACACTGATCCCACACATTGATCCCATACATTGATCCCACACATTGATCCCACACACTGATCCCATACATTGATCCCACACACTGATCCCACACATTGATCCCATACATTGATCCCACACATTGATCCCATACATTGATCCCATACATTGATCCCATACATTGATCCCACACATTGATCCCACACATTGATCCCACACACTGATCCCACACATTGATCCCACACACTGATCCCATACATTGATCCCACACATTGATCCCACACACTGATCCCATACATTGATCCCACACATTGATCCCATACATTGATCCCACACACTGATCCCACACACTGATCCCATACATTGATCCCACACATTGATCCCAAACATTGATCCCACACACTGATCCCAAACATTGATCCCATACACGCCGCCTTTTTTAAAAAATATGATATTACAAAAATCTAGGGGATGTGAAAGGATAGAAAGAGAAGCCCCACCCCCAGAGACTGACAGACAGCAGTTACAGGGACCTGACATTCCTCCACACCTTTGTCCAGGCTCCCGGCCGCCACCCGTCCTTCTCAAGACCCCGAATCTTCCCAACCTCACCCAGAATGTTGTGCACCACCACCTCCACAGGAAGGACTTTTTTGTGAATGGAAACCTGACAGCATGTATTCCACGTGTAGTAACGGACTACTAGGTTAACTAGAAAAAATGTCTCAAAATCAAAGTCCTGGTGAGTTTGAAAGGCTCCCTAAGACCACTCCGCGTAACTCAAGCAGGAAAGAAAAGGGAGACCCAGAGCCCCACCCACCCGCTTGTAGACTTCTATATTGAAGGGGCACTGAAGCAAGAAATAGTCCATCGTCTCCTCCACCCCACCGCACTCCACTCTTGGACAACCACGGTTCTCCGCAGAGCGATGCTTCAGGCTGCCCTTCACATAGAGTCTGCCATGGAACGAGAGCCAGGCCAAATCCCGAAACTTCAAAGGGATTCTCTCCAGATTCATCAAACGCAGACCCTCCCTCATAACAGGGCCTGGCCAATCCTTCAAGGCCAATGGCTCACTAAAAGCAGATTTAACAACCCTCCTCTCCAGGGCCTTCCTAGGAAGAGACTTAATTTCCTCCGCCGTCACTCTCCATTACCTAAACATTTTCAGGCAGGGGGGAAACATAAGCCGGGAGCTTACCATGTTGGACCCTCAGGCTTTTCACTGGCCCATCATTTTCCCATCTCCACAGAAAAGGCCTTAACCAGGACTGAAAAATACCGACCCACCCCAGGCGGTTCCTCTGCCAACATGCTACCAAAAAATTATGTTTCAAAGATCAACCAGATCTGGTTGATGTGCAGCAATGAATGTGCACATCAACCAGATCTGCCTCTCTAGATATTTTGTTTTTAAAAAAAAGCCGTCACAGTCCAGCGTGTCTCTTTGTAATGTCCTCAGTGAGCTCCCAAACCTCTTCTTTACCCCCTCATTTAGGTATGTCTGAAAATAGGCAGTATATGTTCACTGGGGTCATGTTCCCCGCTCTATGTACACTGCAAACCTCATAGTCCATCTTGGGAGCCAGCAAGAGAGGGTGGTTACATTCCTACATACAGTGGGACCAAGGCAGGGTGGCTACATTCCTACATACAGTGGGACCAAGGCAGGGTGGCTACATTCCTACATACAGCGGGACCAAGGCAGGGTGGCTACATTCCTACATACAGCGGGACCAAGGCAGGGTGGCGACATCACTTCATACTTTGGGACCAAGGCAGGGTGGCCACAATCCTACATACAGTGAGACCAGGGCTGGGTGACTACATTCCTACATACAGGGGGACAAGGCAGGGTGGCTACATTCCTACATACAGGGGGACCAAGGCAGGGTGGCTACATTCCTATATACAGTGGGACCAAGGCAGGGTTGCTACGTTTCTACATACATTGGGACCAAGGCAGGGTGACTACATTCCTACATACAGGGGGACCAAGGCAGGGGGGCTACATTCCTACATACAGGGGGACCAAGGCTGGGTGGCTACATTCCTACATAGAGGAGGACCAAGGCAGGGTGGCTACATTCCTACATACAGGGGGACCAAGGCAGGGTGGCTACATTCCTACATACAAGAAAACCAAGGCAGTGTGGCCACATTCCTAGATACAGTGGGACCAAGGCAGGGTTGCTACGTTCCTACATACATTGGGACCAGGGCAGGGTGGCTACATTACTACATAGAGGGAGACCAAGGCAGGGTGGCTACATTACTACATACAGGGAGACCAAGGCAGGGTGGCTACGTTCCTACATACAGGGAGACCAAGGCAGGGTGGCTACGTTCCTACATACAGGGAGACCAAGGCAGGGTGGCTACATTCCTACATACAGCGGGACCAAGGCAGGGTGGATACATTCCTACATACAGCGGGACCAAGGCAGGGTGACTACATTCCTACATACAGTTGGACCAAGGCAGGGTGGCTACATTCCTACATACAGGGGGACCAAGGCAGGGTGGCTACATTCCTACATACAGCGGGACCAAGGCAGGGTGGCCACATTCCTACATACAGCGGGACCAAGGCAGGGTGGCTACATTCCTACATACAGCGGGACCAAGGCAGGGTGGCCACATTCCTACATACAGAGGGACCAAGGCAGGGTGGCCACATTCCTACATACAGCGGGACCAAGGCAGGGTGGCCACATTCCTACATACAGCGGGACCAAGGCAGGGTGGCCACATTCCTACATACAGCGGGACCAAGGCAGGGGGGCTACATTCCTACATACAGGGGGACCAGGGCAGGGTAGCTACATTCCTACATACAGTGGGACCAAGGCAGGGTGGCTACATTCCTACATACAGCGGGACCAAGGCAGGGTGGCCACATTCCTACATACAGCGGGACCAAGGCAGGGTGGCTACATTCCTACATACAGCGGGACCAAGGCAGGGTGGCCACATTCCTACATACAGAGGGACCAAGGCAGGGTGGCCACATTCCTACATACAGCGGGACCAAGGCAGGGTGGCCACATTCCTACATACAGCGGGACCAGGGCAGGGTAGCTACATTCCTACATACAGTGGGACCAAGGCAGGGTGGCTACATTCCTACATACAGCGGGACCAAGGCAGGGTGGCCACATTCCTACATACAGGGGGACCAGGGCAGGGTAGCTACATTCCTACATACAGTGGGACCAAGGCAGGGTGGCTACATTCCTACATACAGCGGGACCAAGGCAGGGTGGCCACATTCCTACATACAGCGGGACCAAGGCAGGGTGGCTACATTCCTACATACAGCGGGACCAAGGCAGGGTGGCCACATTCCTACATACAGAGGGACCAAGGCAGGGTGGCCACATTCCTACATACAGCGGGACCAAGGCAGGGGGGGCTACATTCCTACATACAGGGGGACCAGGGCAGGGTAGCTACATTCCTACATACAGTGGGACCATGGAGAATGAACACGGACACCCTCTAACACCCTCTAACAGGAGGTTGGATCACAGCAGCATATAAAGGAATCTGAAGACTTGCTACAGAGAAGACGTTACAGCTACATCAGCTTTATTTCATTTGGTTTATCTGTACCGTCACAGAGGCTTATTAGTGAGATACCCAACAGCTCAAGCACCCTATTGGTCAGGGGCCCCCAAGCTACATCCTGCAGGCCACATCCGGCCCATTACACCCCCCGGCCAGGGTCAGTGAGCAATCTGCACAGACTGAGGATCAAGGTCAACAGAGACTCCCTATGGTCTCCATTATAAAGCCCCCAAGACACAACCTGACACCCCAACCCCCCGCCCTGCTGCCATCCTCCCTGCCATTGATTGCCAGGACTGCCTGCATCCTAGCATCCAGTGACATACTGTATTTGGCCCAGCGTTTAGAGAAGGACAAAACATCCTCCAGCCAGTCTTGCTCTGCCCCCCCCCCCCCCCCAGGTCCCACCCTGCTGCTATAGACACGCTTACAGTGGTAAGGGGAACCCTGATGTAAGGGGGATAGTGATGTAAAAGGGGACTCTGATGAGAACCCTTATGTAAGAGGTTTTCTGATAGGGATACTGATGTAAGGGGGAACTCTAATAGGGACCCTTTTGTAAGGGGGGACTCTAATTGGGACCCTGATGTAAATGAGAAGTCTGATGAGGGCCCTGATGTAAGGGGGGACTCTGATGGGGACTCATATGCAATAGGGGACTCTGATGTAAGGGGGGACTCTGATGGGGGCCCTGATGTAAGGGAGGACTCTGATGGGGGGCTCTGATGTAAGGAGGGCTCTGATGGGGGCTCCAATATAAGGATGGAATCTGATGTGATTCCTGTGATAGGGTGACAGTAATGCTGCACTGCTCCTGAATTCAGAACGGGGTTGTCACTCTTATGTAGGTGGAGCCTGCTTGCACTACAGTGAGAGGAAAAGATGTAGGGGTGTGGCTATCAACATTGTCACTCCAGATTCAGCCTATAGCTTGTCAATCAACTCCTGACCACACCTAGTTCCGCCCACTGCTTTCTGGATTAGCAGCACTGCCTCTGTTCCTGAACCTCTTCCACTGTGAGCTGCAGTGCCTGGGAGGGGGAGCGTGTGAGACACAAATGAAGGAGGATTTGGATCAGTCAGAGAAGGCAAAAACATTTTTTATGAGGCTCTTTTCTGAATTGAAAGCATGTATAAATTGCCAGGAAAGAGAAAAGGGAGGAGCGAGAGGCGTGTGCCCCGCCCCCCTTCCCCTGAGCAATATCAGGTCACATGCCTTTAACATGGGGGTCTCCCCTGGCAAAGCACCCATGTTGAGGGAAGGCCTCATGCCCACAACCCTTGCCCAGTGCTTGTGGGGGTCCCCAGGGAGAGTTTTATCTAAATCTGGAAACCCTCTTTAATAATATGGGAGCCTCCAGACATGAATGCGTATTGGCTACATAGTATTTATTTATTTATTTCAGGTACTTATATAGCGCCGTCAATTTATGCAGCACTTTACATATATATTGTACATTCACATCAGTCCCCGCCCCCGAGGAGCGTACAATCTAAGGTCCCTAACTCACATTCATACATACACATACTAGGGCCAATTTAGACAGGAGCCAATTCACCTCCCAGCATCTCTTTGAAGTGTGGGAGGAAACCCATGCAGGCACAGGGAGAACATGGAAACTCCAGGCAGGTGGTGCCGTAGTTGGGATTTGAACCGACGACTCTAATACTGCCAGGCTGAAGTGCTAACCACTTAGCCACTGAGCTGCCCATTTCACAAAAACAATCCAAAAAAAATGTAACTTAGAAATAAAGATACCTAAACATTTGACAAGTCCATTATTAAAAAAATTGTATCTCAAAAATACATCCCTGATTGTAAATTCATTGTCAATCCAAGCCAAAAAAAACAAACCAGACGACACACCGCACACAACTCCCGGATGGCAACACCATCCAAATGACAGTTCCCTGAGCTGTCATTGGCTATATAAAGAAAGGTCAGTTTAGGCAATGATGTCATGCTCTATTCCCTGGCCTTTTGCTCATGATTCCCAGCCATATAAGTGAATGGGCCAGGTGACCGCAGTGGTTGGTAAGGACGCAAGCAGCTGCTGCTTCCTTAGCTACGATTTACTGCCAGAAGCTGTCATGTTCATCCGCAATGAACACCCTAAACTAGCCTCTCTCAACCTTTCCAACACAGAAACCCTTGAAACAACTTTCCAAGCTCAGGGAATCCCTGCTAAAAAAAAATGACTACATGATCTACAACTCATGATACATTCGTGTGATGGTCAGTGGGAAGAATGCCCCTTACATTGGGGGTCAGTGTGAAGAATGTCCCTTACATTGGGGGTCATTGGGAAGAATGTCCCTTACATTGGGGGTCAGTGTGAAGAATGTCCTTTACATTGGTGGTCAGTGGGAAGAATGTTCCTTAAATTGGGGGTCAGTGGGAAGAATGTCCCTTACATTGGGGGTCAGTGGGAAGAATGTCCCTTACATTGGTGGTCAGTGGGAAGAATGTCCCTTACATTGGGGGTCAGGGAGTGGGAAGAATGTCCCTTACAATGGTGATCAGTGGGAAGAATGTCCCTTACAATGGGGGTCAGTGGGAAGAATGTCCCTTACATTGGTGGTCAGTGGGAAGAATGTCCCTTACATTGGGGGTCAGTGGGAAGAATGTCCCTTACATTGTGGGTCAGTGGGAAGAATGTCCCTTACATTGGTGATCAGTGGAAAGTATGTCCCTTACATTGGGGGTCAGTGGGAAAAATGTCCCTTACATTGTGGGTCAGTGGGAAGGACGTCCCTTACATTGGTGGTCAGTGGGAAGATTGCTCCTTACATTGGGGGTCAGTGGGAAGAATGTCCCTTACATTTGGGGTCAGTGGGGAGAATGTCCCTTACATTGGTGGTCAGTGGAAGAATGTCCCTTACATTGGGGGTCAGTGGAAGAATGTCCCTTACATTGGGGGTCAGTGGAAGAATGTCCCTTACATTGGTGATCAGTGGGAAGAATGTCCCTTACATTGGTGATCAGTGGGAAGAATGCCCCTTACATTGGGGGTCAGTGGGAAGAATGTCCCTTACATTGGGGGTCAGTGGGAAGAATGTCCCTTACATTGGTGATCAGTGGGAAAAATGTCCCTTACATTGGGGGTCAGTGGGAAGAATGTCCCTTACAATGGGGGTCAGTGGGAAGAATGTCCCTTACATTGGTGGTCAGTGGGAAGAATGTCACTTACATTGGAGGTCAGTGGGAAGAATGTCCCTTACATTGGGGGTCAGTGGGAAGAATGTCCCTTACATTGGGGGTCAGTGGGAAGAATGTCCCTTACATTGGTGATCAGTGGGAAGTATGTCCCTTACATTGGGGGTCAGTGGGAAAAATGTCCCTTACATTGTGGGTCAGTGGGAAGGACGTCCCTTACATTGGTGGTCAATGGGAAGATTGCTCCTTACATTGGGGGTCAGTGGGAAGAATGTCCCTTACATTTGGGGTCAGTGGGGAGAATGTCCCTTACATTGGTGATCAGTGGGAAGTATGTCCCTTACATTGGGGGTCAGTGGGAAAAATGTCCCTTACATTGGTGGTCAGTGGGAAGAATGTCCCTTACATTGGGGGTCAGTGGGAAGAATGTCCCTTACATTGGGGGTCAGTGGGAAGAATGTCCCTTACATTGGGGGTCAGTGGGAAGAATGTCCCTTACATTGGGGGTCAGTGGGAAGAATGTCCCTTACATTTGCGGTCAGTGGGAAGAATGCTCCTTACATTGGGGGTCAGTGGGAAGAATATCTCTTACATTGGGGGTCAGTGGAAAGAATTACCGTCTTACAGATAGCTAAAAAGATCAATGGTGTCAGTGGGAAGTTATCTGAGAGGGAGAAATTGTTCAATGCTTAAGGAACCCCTATCAACCTCTGGAGGAACCCTAGAGTTCCATGGAACCCTAGTTGAGAAACCCCATCCTAAACATTCAGCGTTTGAACAAACATCTAAAAAGTCAATGTTTTGGTCCAGACTAACATTCAGACTGAATGCTAAGCTCATCTCTACTGAGGAAGCTATTTATTTAGCAAAATATATTGAAGATTACAGAACAAGTCCAGCTCAACGTGACCAACTCCTATGAGCTCCACCGTGATCTGAGCACACGAGAACCTTCACAGGGTTACACCACACCTGCAGGACCATTCCGCCAGCACGGGTGCAGTTAACAGCCTGGATAGCCGTGTGAAGCACACAATAATTAGAGTCTTCTAGGTAAATAGCCCATTGAAGGCGTTTGTTGAATTAAGTAAATGGGAATTTTCTGGCCGGCATGTAAAATCTACTTTTTGCATATTTCGCAGGCTTAACAGCTCAGCTAAAATAACGAGAGCCGGAGTTTGTTTCTTGCCAATTACGAGACAAGGGGCTTTATCTCTCCGTTCATCAATGCGGCAGCTTAGCGCAAAACATTCTGTAAAAAAATTAGGCAGTAATAATTTAATACGGGTTTATGCCAAAAGGGATTTTCCATCTTAAAAATTATACGTGCGCTGACACAGCAGCTGAAAAACGTGATGGTGCAGCAATGGTGTTCAACGAAAATGGTTTTTAAGGGGTTTTCAACTCTATGGCCTGCCTTAGCTGGAGTTCTGTCTTCATTTCACTAAAGTCTATCTAAATCTGCTAGTCCATCTACTAGTCTACTACTAGTCCATATACTAAAGTAGACTATAGTCAGTCTACTAGTCCATCTACTAGTCTACTACTAGTCCATATACTATAGTAGACTACTGTCAATCTACTAGTCCATATACTTTAGTAGACTACTGTCAATCTACTAGTCCATATACTATAGCAGACTACTGTCAATCTATTAGTTCATCTACTATAGTGGACTATAGTCAGTCTACTAGTCCATCAACTAATTTACTACTAGTCCATATACTATAGTAGACAACTGTCAGTCTATTAGTTCATCTACTATAGTAGACTATAGTCAGTCTACTAGTCCAGCTACTAGTCTACTACTAGTCCATATGCTATAGTAGACTACTGTCAATCTACTAGTTCATTTACTATAGTAGACGATAGTCACTTTACTAGTCCATCTACTAGTCTACTATTAGTCCATATACTATAGTAGGCTACTGTCAGTCTACTAGCCCATATACTATAGTAGACTACTGTCAATCTACTAGTCCATCTACTTGTCTACTACTAGTCCATATACTTTAGTAGACTACTGTCAATCTACTAGTCCATATACTATAGTAGACTACTGTCAATCTATTTGTTCATCTACTATAGTAGACTACTGTCAATCTATTTGTTCATCTACTATAGTAGACTACTGTCAATCTACTAGTCCATCTACTAGTCTACTACTAGTCCATACACTTTAGTAGACTACTGTCAATCTACTAGTCCATCTATTATAGTAGACTATAGTCAATCTACTAGTCCATCTACTAGTCTACTACTAGTCCATACACTTTAGTAGACTACTGTCAATCTATTAGTTCATCTACTACAGTAGACTATATTCAATCTACTAGTCGATCTAACACTACCCTCTCCAGACAATGCTGCTGTCCTCGGGTGGTTTTGTTGCTCCTCCAGAGACAGAAGAGATGCCCAAAGACACGAGGCGAGTTACTGGCCAGGTCATCAGGGGAAAATAAAGGAAAAAAAAAAGAAAAAAGAAAACTAATGCAGCCACCACATCTTAGGACTGGTGAGCTACGATATATAACATTTTTGGTTTTACCACCTTAAGTATCGAAGAATTGGTGGGTGAGGGGGTCATTACCAGGCAAGGAGAGAGAACACTTCCAAGGTTTACACCACCTAAAATATTAGAATTATGAGTTCCTAAGAAACTTTAACTTCTTGGCGCCGAGCGCATGCAAATATGCGGCCTCATCCGGGCCTTGGCGCTGAGGGGCCGCATATTTGAGTAACCGATGTAAACAAAGAATGTGCCAAGAGCAAGTGCCCCGCACGCTCCCAGCACATTCAACCGGCTCCTCACGGAAAGGATTGCTACTTACGGTCAGGAACTTTCCAATCATGTGACCGCCATGACAGCCAATCACAACGGTCACATAACCCTAAACCCCATCCCGCCTCCTGGCACCAAAAACCCCTTAAAAGGGCCGGGAGGAGTTAAGATTGGGTGCTTGGCCAAATGTCTTCTTTTTGCAAATCCTTTGAGGTTGCTACCAACATCAGGCATTTAAGGGGAAGCTATAATGGCTTTCAGTCAACTTAACTTTGCAAGTTTCTAAAATATTTGATATGATTTTGAATATTTGTCTAAAATCTCAGTTTAAACAACTATTCATTTATGACAGAATGTTTTGTGCAGTCTGGGTTTTCTAAAAAGAAATGTGATCAGCTTTGCACTTGATGACCGGTCCCACCAACTGAAGATCCACCGTACATGGCACCATCTCTATTAGCAGCAGGGCCGTGGATAAGGGGACACCCCCCATGGTTCTCCTGTACAGGGCCCAGACCAGCAGGGGGGGCCCAATCAGCTGTGGGAATCAGATGTGGACAGGGATTTTGATTGGCACAGCGGGTGGGGCAATTACTGGAACTGATCCCCAGTATGGCTCTCTCTGCAGCACCTCCCAGTACACCATACATTTCCTCATGCTGCTCAAGCCCCCCTATGTGCCCCTCCACCCCACAGTGCTTCCGGCTTCTCTCCTCTCCTTCCCACCGGCAAATGCAAGCACTCAATAGGATCATTAAGATGAAGAGTGGGAGAAAGGTCCATAAATATATCACATTTACCAGCCCTTTCCTTTCCTGAATGAACACAATGAGTGATCAGTACCAATCACTCACTGAGTGATTGGGAGGGGCAATTAGATATAAGCCGGAAACTCGGTGGACTCAAACGCTGAAAATCTTTAATGGCTACACAAGTACATCCAGTAAAACAATTCTAACGTGTTTCAGCCGCTGTGGCCTTACTCAAAGCAACATGCTATGAGTAAGGCCAAGGCGGCTGAAACGCGTTAGATATTGCTTTACTGGATGCACTTGTGTAACCGATAAAGATTTTCAATGTTTGAGTCCACCAAGTTGCCGGCTTATACCTATCTACATTTTAATCAGCTCTATTGGTCTTGTGGAGCAGAGGGTCTACTAACTTCTGGTTCTTCTTCAAGTGCCTGGATTTGGACATTCCCACTTGATGTTCAGCCCCTGGACAGCCAATGGGAATTGTCCATCGGTCATGTGATGCAGAGAGAATCTTCTATTTCCTGGCACTTTTTCAATCGCCCAGGTCACTGCAGGGTGTGGACATTTCTGGAGCCTGAGAGAACCCAATGCTGGACAGCCAATGGCAAATTGTAATTGGTCACATGATATTCATAGTTACGTAGTTAGTCCGGCTGAAAAAAGACAAACGTCCATCCAGTTCAACCATTAAAAAAAAAAAAAATTATAATCCTACGCCCACAGTTGATCCAGAGGAAGGCAAAAAAAACAGCAAAGCACGATCCAATTTGCTCCTGCAGGGAAAAAATTCCTTCCTGACCCCCCGAGAGGCAATCTGATATTCCCTGGATCACCTTTCCCTATAAATGTTATATCCAGTTATATTCTGTGTATCCAAGAAAGGATCCAGGACTTTCCTACAGCAATCCACTGAGCTGGCCACAACCAACTCTTGAGGGAGCCTATTCCACATTCTCACAGCTCTGACTGTGAAGAAACCTTTCTGTGTTTGGAGATTACATTTCTTTTCCTCCAGACGTAAAGAGCGCCCCCTTGTCCTCTGTGATGACCTCAGGGGGAATAGCTCTACTCAGGGTCTTCTATCATCTAGTCCTTCAAGTGCCCATGTTTTTTTTATTTAAATATCTATTAATTTTCAGATAAACAAGTTATAGAAACATACTCATTAAAACCTTAGCATATTATCAAAACATTTATCGCTTCATCCCTTCCCCCCCCACCTATATACCACCCATCCCCCCCCCCCCCATCCAATCCCTGAACCCTTCTGCTCTGCATTTTTTTGTTCATTTCTGGAGATTGTAATCCCTATAAAAGAACAAAATATGTTTCCATATTATTCTCTGTTAATCCCCCATAACCTCTAAGGCTGGCCTTGACTTTTTGAATTCCTCCCATTTGTTCCATCTTGTATGGTGACTCTCCATTTTATCTTCATCCAAATGATAAAGTTCCTCCACTTTACATATTTGATCCTCCCAGACTTTTATTTTCGGCACCTCCTGTCTCCTCCAATACTTGGGTTTCAGTCCCTTTGCTGCATCAAATAGTACAATAAACCAGATTCTTTGTATTTTGTAACTGAAAGCTTAGTTCAAGTGCCCATGTTGATACCTGGTTGTGCACGTTTCCCATTGGTTGTCCAGCGGTGGGTCCTCTCAGGTTCCAGAAGACTGAAGTGGCGTGATTAGCTCATGACAAGGGGTGGCAACAATACCGGTCAGGGCCTGGCCTGGACTACATTGTTGGATGGCCGGTCTCTACTCCCTGAAGAGGCAATGGTGATGGCCATGTGACAGCAGACTCAAGAGAACCACCACAACGGGGGATAGGTTTTGTTTTGCCTGAAGAAGGACTTTTGATGAAATGACTTTTATGTACAGCAAGTATATTTAAAAAATATATATTGGTATATCAGTGAGAAACAAACACCGTCACACCTAAAGAACTCGTCATTATTTCCAGCTTAGGGCCCGAAGGCATGCATTCTTGCTCTCTAGAATTATGTGGCATTAGAAGGTTTCCTCTATTGAGGAAATAATCCCTATTTAAACGCCCGGGGAGGTGTCAGGTTTTTTTTTGAAGGCTATCGGCTAATGTGTCACTAGGGAAGG